CACCGAGACTGAGGGACCTATTGCACACACACAATGTCCACTCATGGGCCCTGCAGCAGCCTCCAGCCCCTGACTGCAACCTGGAGGTAGCAGCCCCAACAGCCCTGCAGCACCACGCTTGGTGCATTTCAAATAGCAACAGTACCAACGAAACACATAAACATGCAAAAAACCACGGCACGAAGTTGACCTCGAAAAGGACGCTTGTTTCCAGCATGAGCAGAAACGGGAAGGCCGAGCGCTGCGTCATCCACCTTGTTGGGGAGCGTGTGCTGGGAGACAGGCTTTCCACCACCCTGACACTCTGCAAGGGACTGTGGAAGCTCTGCAAGTATCGACTCTGGGTTACAAATGAATCTGAGCAAATCGTGCTGTGTACTGAACCGAGTTCATAAGTTTAAGTCCTAACCCCGGTACTTTGGAATGGGACTGCACAAGTATTTGGGGACAGGGCCTTTAAGGAGGTGATTAAGGTGAAATGAAGTCATACGAGTGGACCCGATCCAGTCTGATGGGTGTCCTTATGAAAAGAGGACATTTGGACACACCAAGAGACACCAGGGACACATGTACAAGAGGGAAAGGCCATGTGGGGACACAGGGAGGACACAGCGTCTGCGAGCCAAGGAGAATGGCCTTGGGATGAACCAGGTCCAACAGCACCTTGACCCTGGACTTCCAGCCCCCAGGACTGTGAGACAACAAATTTCTGTTCATTATACATTTTAAAAATTAAAAAAAACAAATTAGCAGAATTTTATTTCTTATCCTTTTTTGAATACTTGCCAGGTGGAAATCATGCAGGGACCCCCGGCATGCAGCGGCTCCCAGGCACGCAGGCTCAGCTGCCCACACTCACTGTAAGCAGGATTGGAAGGCCGGGAACTGCCAGGCTTGGGGGGTGGGGGGGTCTCATCTCTACACGTGGTTTGACGCATTTCTGTGCTTAAACAAGAGATTGCGAATAAACAATAACAGCACTCTCAAAGAGACAGACCTGGAATTATTTTGATTCCGTCATTCCGTGTGACCTCTTGGTGCTTTTATTTTGTGTTAAACTGTGGAACCGAGTGTGAACTGAGGTGTAGCCTTCAAGTGCAAGTATTATCTCAGGCACAGAATCGTCACTGGATTCAGATATTAGCTATAAAATGTATCCTTTTTGTGAATTATTTTAAAGAAAAACCAGGAAAAACATGATTATTACATGATTATACAGAAAATAATTCTGTCACATGGAGGATGGAGTGTTGGGGAAGTGTGGTCCTTGCTGGGTGTCAAATGCTGAGGAAGCCACCGGCCTCAGGCTCCCTGGACAGCTGCTGGATGCCAGCAGCTTCTCTCAGTCCTGCAGAAGGGAGCCGGCCTGCAGGGTAAACCTGCAGCCCTTTGCCTCCAGGCCCACAACTGCAATCTTCCTGTCGCCAGCATCTTCGAGACCCCCGGGCAGAGACAAGGAAAGGCCTTGGCCCACTCCAGAGGAAAAAGCCCACTCCAGGAGGTCAGAGGATGAGGTGACTTTCTCTTTTGCCTCCCAGTGCCACCTGCCTGCCCAGCCCCCCAGGTATGCCGGGGAGACCCACCTGTGTGAGGGAGGCCCAGCAAAGTGGTCCCTAAGCAGATGTCTGGCCCGTCCTGACAGTCTGATGTGGGAGCCGAGGGCTAGGGCTCAGACGCCTGGTCTGAGAAGGGCAAGGACAGGGACTGATTTGCAGCCCCTACCTGGGGGAGGAGAAGGGTAGGGGCAGGCTCCAAAGGAGGGGACAAGGTAGTCACCCACAGCAGGACTCCGGGCGACCACTCGGGTCTCATTGCTCGGGGTCTACGTGGACACAGTAACCCTCGGCACGTGGACAGCTGTTCTTCACTGGACCCGGCTCTCTGACTCCCGCCTCCTGCAGGCTTGCTGCCACACTGCACCATGCCCATGCCAGCCCCGAGGCTGGCTGCGGGAATGCCCGCTGACCCATCAGGACCCACCCCGGCTGAAGGTGGGTGAAGGAGGGACGGGTGGGGGAGCCGCAGAGCTAGCAGCTGCCTGTGAAGGTTGCATAAGGGCGACGGGGAAGATCAGAGGTGACCGTGAAGCTTCCCCGGGGAGCTGGGACCTTGCCAAGTGCAGGAGAGCCATGCAGACTGGCCCTCCGCCCTCAGCGCCCCTGAAGGAGCCACTGTCCACCCCCCTTGTGGACAGGCCACCGAGACTGAGGGACCTATTGCACACACACAATGTCCACTCATGGGCCCTGCAGCAGCCTCCAGCCCCTGACTGCAACCTGGAGGTGGCAGCCCCACACGACCTGCTCAGTGTGGTGGCCAGCACGCTTGACAAGAAAAGTGCAAATGTCCTAAAAACCAAAGAAAGAAAAGGCACCTGTCCACTAAGTCCAGGAAAGGAATTGAACAGAGACATCCCTGTCCCAGAGGATGTTTGCCAGACATTGTGCTCGGGGCCAGCCAGGCCATGGAGGGGCTCGTGGAAGCTGCTGCCTGCAGGCATGTCCCAGGGTCAGGCCATGGTGGCCAGGGGGATGGGGTCCCGCGGGTGCAGAGGGGAGAGAAGCCCCTGGGGACAGAGGCATGGGGGAGCCAGGATGTCACACAGGACCCCTGACTGGGCCCTGTGTGTGTGTTGTGTGTGGTGCGTATATGTGAGTGTGTGATGTGGGTATGTATGTGATGTGTGTGGTGTATGTGTCTGTGTAGTGGTGTGTGTGTAGTGTGTGTGTCCATGTGTTTGTGTGATGTGTAGTGTCTGTAGTGTGTGGTGTGTGCGGTGTTGAGTGTGTGGTGTGCATGGTGTGCATGGTGTGTGGTGTTTGCAGTGGGTGCTGTGTGTGCTGTGTGTGGTTTGTAGTGTGTGGTGTATGATGTTTGTAGTGTGTGGTGTGCATGGTGTGTTCTGCATCTGTGTACGGTGTGTGTGTGTGTGTGTGTGTGTGTGTGTGTTGGGGAGTGTGAGCCACATCTCCGAGCATCCTCCTCTGATATCTGAACGGCCAGGACAGCAGGAATCTTCCAGCTGCACAGGCAGGAAATGGGCCTCCGCGCCGCTCCGGGCTGCCCTGGCTGGCATCGCTGCCCGCAGCCCGGCTTATGCCTGTCCTGGGCGATTTGACGACCCGCTGCACAGAGTGAGCGCCAGCCCCGCACACACAAAGGCCACATTCCCTTTATCTGCAGGATTCCCCACGCCAGCAGTCTGCGTGCTTCACAAAGCCCCGGCACCCGATTTTCCACCCCAGGGCCCGCGGGGCTCGCGCAGGCTGGCCGGGTATTGTGCCGATCAGCAAAAGCGCCTGGCTAAGCCCTTGCCCTCGGGGTCAGCAGATTGGACGAACAGTCCCCCTGAGACCCCACCATGGTGCTCGGGAAGAAGCGAGGGGCCCATCGTGCTCCACCAGCCCCACCAGGTCAAAGGCTGTCTGCTGCTCCTGGCCAGCCGGTTGTTCTCGTCTCCTACATAGACAGTCTCCCAGACCCCAGCCCCGGGCAAGGGTTCCAGGCAAGTGTCCTAAGCACAAAGGCAAGCTCGCTGTGCAGCCTACAAAATGCCAAATGCCCCCTCTCACTAAATGGGTGACTGCTTCCCGTTTACAGAATAACAGATGCCCTGGCTTTCTGATAGCACTGGATCTAGAACAAACCTCTGCCTCAGATCCTCCCCCAAGTGACCCAACCAGAGCCAAGTTGTCTAAACCCCTTGCTCTGTTCCCTGCCCATCGATGTTGGGGCCTCAGGTCCCAGGGCTCACCACTCCTCTTTTTGCCCACACCTGGGTGAGCCCAGTTAACCTCAGCAGGTGTCATTCCCTGGGCTGCTGGCTCCTGGGTTCCACGGTGCATCTGCCTGCCTTCTTAGCTGCCCCAAGTGGATGTGTGACAGCTTCTCAAACTCAGCGTGTCCCAACCTGGATCTTCCCACAGTATCCCCATCCCAGCTCTGGGAACTCCATTCCTGCAAGTCCTCAGGCTGAAGCTTTTATTTCAGTCTTGACTCCTTTTCTCCGTCACCCCATTATGGACTGAATTGTGTTCCTCCAAAATTCATAGGTTGAAGCCCCAATGCCCACTGTGACTGTATGTGGTGATAGGAGGAGGTAATTGAGGTTAAATAGTCATAAGGGTCATAAGGGGTGGGCCCTAAACCAAGAGGACCGATGTCCTTATAAAGAGAGATAGACACCAGGGGTGTGCATGCGTGGAGGAAAGGCCACATGAGGACGCAGGGAAAAGATGCCATCTGCAAGCCAAGGAGAGAGGCCTCAGGAACCAGCCCTGCCCCACCTTGACCCTGGACTTCCAGGCTCCGGAACTGAGAGACGTCAAATTTCTGTTGTTTAAGCTACCCAATTTGTGGTATTTTGTTATGGTAGCTTGAGCAGACTAAGACATACCCTGTACCTGATATGTCAGCAAATCCTATCACCTCTACCTGCCAAAACCACCCAGAGCTTATGTCCTGCTCTCCACCCCCACCACCTCGATCCAAGACCTGTCCTCTCTTGCCTCGATTACTTCAGCTACCTCCTCATGGGCTCCCCCTCTCCGCCCTTTCTCCTAGAAGTCTATTTCTGCCCAGCAGCCAGCAATCCTATAACCCGTGAACTTATGTCCTGCTCTCCAGCCCCACCACCTCGATCCAAGACCTGTCCTCTCTTGCCTCGATTACTGCAGCTACCTCCTCATGGGCTCCCCATCTCCGCCCTTTCTCCTAGAAGTCTATTTCTGCCCAGCAGCCAGCAATCCTATAACCCGTGAGTCCCATCAGACCACTCCTGTGCTCCACGCCTTGCCTGATTTCCCATCTCACCCAGAGTAAAAGCCATAACGTTTACAGTGACTTGCAATGCCTTATGAGATCTGGCCTCACCCTCCCCTCATTCCCAGCATTCCAGCCATGCTGGCCCCTTGTGTTGGCTCAGATGTGCGAGGTACCCTTCAACCTCAGGGCCTTTGCACCTCTGATTCCATCTGCAGAGAAAGCTCTTCCCTTGGTTCTCTGTGCGGCTGGTTCACTCACCTCCTTGAGGTCTTTATTGAAAATCCATGTTGTCGGTGACGGCTTTCACCATGAGGTTGTGTGGCTCAGTGCAGGCAGAGGACACTTCCCCACCCTTCTGACTGGTTGCTTGGGCAACGGAACATGAGTGGACATGGCTTTGGCCACGTCCAGTGAAAGGCTTCTGATGTGCTTGCATAGTGTAGCCCTGCACCATGAGAAGAGTGTGCCCAAGTAGACACTGTTCCCCCAGTCTGAAGCCCAGCAGAGTGACCCCTGGGGCAGACCTCACCACAGAGACCTGGGGGTGTGTGTCATGACCACTCCCATAAGAGCTAGGACATGAGGATCTCCTCCCACAACATTTCACACGTTTTGATTTTTCCCTCCTCAGTACATGTTAGTCTCTAACATGCACTATGTCCTCCTTATTTACCTTGTTTATGGCCCGCCTTCCCTACTGGAAGGCAAGTGCCACGAGGACCACAGTCTTCACCTCTGCAGTTCACCACGGCATCCCCAGTGCTACACAGGAGGAGGCACTGAAAAAGTGGTGTCGCCTGAATGAATGTCATGGGTCTGAGACCAGAGCTAAGTCCGGAGAGCAGTCAGAACAGATGAGAGAGCCACGACCCCAGTTCCGGGGGTCAGGCAGCTTCCAGAGGAAGAGCAGCCAAGCATCATAATTCCCAGATGGTCACCGTCACTTACCAAGTGAAGAGCTCCCAGAGAACTGATTCCGTTCACCGCCTGGAACTGGCAGGGCTGGGTGCTGTTAACAAACGTAAGATTTGTGAGAATTATCCAAGACCATTTATTGGTGCACCCAGAACAGCTCTCTCCCATATGTCTGCTTTCCAAGCCACTTCTGCCTGAGTACTGGTGTTGTCAGAAAGCACCCGTTACGGTGCGGTCGGAAAGCACCTGCCATGTGCCACTCTAACTGATTGGATACAACTATGAAAAAGACAATTCCTGCCTTCAGGGAGTTTACAGTCCGACAGGACAGACAGACCAGCAGGCAGACTCCGTGCCAGTCAGGGAGAAGCAGAAGCAACAGGAGACCTATACAGCTGACCCTTGAACAACGCAGGGGTGGGGCGCCAACCCTGTGCAGTCTGAATTCCTTGTGTAACTTTTCCCACGTGGTGCCCTTGACCCTTCAGTAGTCCCTCAGTACCTGCAGGGGCTTGGTCCTGTGAAATCTGCAGATATGAAAAGTCAGCCCTCCGTATACACAGGTTCTGCATCCCGCAAATACTGTATTTTCAATCTGCAGTTGGTTAAATTTGTAAATGGATACATAAGTCCTATTGTATTTATTGAAAAAAAGTCCATGTACATGTGGACCTGCACAGTTCAACCCCCTTGTTGTTCCAGTGTCAACTGTGTATATATAGTGGTGGCTGGCATGTCCAGGGCTTACAAGGCAAGCCAGCAGGCTGGAAACTCAGGCAGGAGTTGATATTGCAGTCTCAAGGCAGAAGTTCCTGTTCCCAGGAAACGCTGTTTCTGCTTTTAAGGCCTTCGTCTGATTGGACGAGGCCTACCTACATTATCAAGGATCATCTCCTTGAAGTCAACCGATTGTAGATGTTAACCACAGCTGCAAAATACCTCCACAGCAACACCTAGGTTAGTGTTTGAATCACGAGGGACTCTAGCCTAGCTAAGCTGACCCATCAAACTGACCATCGCATGGTAGTAATGGTCGCACATCAGTTTGAATGTACTTAATGTCATGGCACTGTACACTTAAAAATGGTTAAAATGGTAAATTGCATGTTATATATATGTATTTTACCTCAATAAAAACACCCTATCACAGGCTTTGGTGAGCATGAACACGGAAGAGTGAGATCACCTAGGAAGTGTGACCAACTTCCTCCAGAAGCCCAGAAGACAGCCCTCCCACCCCCTGAAATGAGGTGACAGCTGTGGCCAAAGTAGCTTCCGGTTAGCAACACATTTTGCAGCAACTGCTGAGCTCTTTTTCAGACTGCATCGCATTCCCATGAGCTCAGTGACGTGCCACGCATCCTCCCACACTGCCCCGGGTATGCCCAGCTCTGCCTCCCAACACAGCAACAGCTTCTGCTCCGGCTACAGAAACTGAAAGAACGAGTGCTGGGATCACCTCTGGTTCTCCTTCCCACTGATATTAATTGGTTGTTGTGATGAGCAGAATACACGCCCCCCCAAGCCCCCCACCCCACCCTGATATCCACATCCTAATCCCCAGAAACTGTAAATAGGCAGCTCTAAATGGCAAAAGGCACTTTGCAGATGTGATTAAGTTAATGCTCTCAAGCGGGAGAGATTATTCAGGTGGGCCCAATGTCACAAGGGTCCTTATAGGGAAAGGAGGAGGCAGGAGGGTCAGAGGAGGAGATGTGACTAGGGAAGCAGAGGTTGGAGTGGGCAGGGCAATGAGTCAAGGGTTATGGGCGGCCTCCAAGAGCGGGAAAAGACAGTGGATTCTCCCCCAGAACCTTCAGAAGAAGCACAGCCCTGCCGAGGCTTTGATTTTAGCCCAGTGAGATCCATTTCAGTCTTCTGAGTTTCTGATTTTCACTGTAAAATAATAATTTACCTTGTTTTAAGCCACTAGGTTTGTGGTCATTCATTACAGCAGCAATGCGAAACTGTAAACAATATAATGTTAATTTAGATCCCTGCTCCAGCTCTGTACATTTGTACCAACATCCTTGTCTGCAAGGCCAGGAAAAGATGGAAAAATGACCTTGGTCACTTTAAGAGTTCTGTCCCTGAAATTGTACATAGCACACAGTTAGAGGGGCCTGTACCTGCTTCATAGTATACATCAGCCAAAAGCAGACAATGCTGAAGAAAAACAGAACTCAGAAATACCACCTAAATGGGGGCCAAAACTGTTAGCAAGCAATGGGCTCACTGCCTGCTGTGCCCAGGAAGCCAAAGACTGACACTGGCTTTTGTGAAAAGAAAAAGTTTTATTATTGCATGACTGGCTGAGCAAGGACACAGGAGCTAGCTCAGCTCTGTCTCCCCAACCGAGAAGCGTGACTTGTTTTTATAGAAAATTCAAAGTATAGAGAAGTATAGGTAAAATTACAAAAAATGCGAGTTGGCAACAGCTGACTGGTGGCAGATAAGCACATGCAGGTTTTGCTGCCTGTTCTGTTCGGCTTGCAATAAATGGTGACAGACCCTGCTTTTTAATTGTGTCCATCATTCTGGTTCCTCTGCACATGACTGTCTCACTTCAAGCGCTCTAAAGTTTCTGCAGGACAACTTAGACCATAGTGATTAACGATCATCTGCTCATTACAGAAAACTTGAAAGGCATTCTGTTATCTTAAGAGGAACTTCAGCCAATTACCTGGATAGTGAGCAGGTGGTTTCAAAATCATGGGGTGTTCCGGTCCTTTCTTGCATGCCCTGGTGGATGCCTCATGGCTCTGA